AGCTGCAGGTGAGTTGGGGGAGTCAGGCCTGCCTGCCCTCACCTGCCTGCCCTGCTCCAGCTCTGCAGGTGGCCCCTCACCTCCTCCTTCCCTCACGTCCTTCTCTCCCTGCCCTCCCCACTCGTCCCCTGACCCCTTCCCCTCAGCCAACCATATCGGCTCTCACCTGACCCCGACTTTCACCTTCCACGGTCCCTTCCTCTGTCCCCCTCACCTGTGCCTCCTCGCCTGTTCTCTCTCACGTGCAACTCTCACCTGTCTTCTGTCTCCTCCTCAGGTGTGGGAGCGCCCCGTGGCCTTGGAGGCGGAGCTGGCCCTGACACTGAATGTCCTGGAGGCCTCGGCTAACTCATCCCCGGATCACATCCTGGACCAGCCCCTTCACACGCTGCACCACATCCACTCCAAGCTCCAGGCCTGCGTGAGCGCTCGGGGCACCCGGGCCGCGTCTGGGCTCTGGCCACCTGTACGTGCCCCTCTGTCCCAGGCCCTGCCTCACACCCTCAACGCCACCCTCCTCTGTCCACAGGTCCCAGCTTGGCCCACAGCAGGCCCCAGGCCCCGGGGCCGCCTCCACCACTGGCTGCACCGGCTCCAGGAGGCCCCGAAGAAGGTGAGTGACCGGGGAGGGGAAACCGATGGCTGGGCTCAGCTGGGAGCCCAGACGTGGGAGCTACTGAGCCATCCCCCTCTGCCCCCAGGAGTCCCAGGACTGCCTCGAAGCCTCTGTCATGTTCAACCTCTTCCGCCTCCTCACCCGGGACCTGAAATGTGTTGCCAGTGGTGACCAGTGTGTCTGACCCCAGAGACCCACCTGCAATGTGTCTCAGCATCTTCGATATTATTTATGTGTCAAAACCCTTTTTTAATTTATTGCCTCCAAATCACTATTTTTATATTTATGTGTGTGATTTCTCAAGCTCAGACCCCATAAAATGTTTATTTTTCTACTTTTTATAAAAACTGTACAAATAAACAATGAAGAAAAGATGCTCTTTGTGGTGTGGGACTGTGTGTGTGTGTGTGTGTGTGTGTGTGTGTGTTGGTTTTTCTTTGCTGCCATAACAAATTCTCACAAACTGAGCAACACAACACAGCACAAATTCATTATCTTACGTTTCTGCAGGTCAGAAATCTGGGTGGGCTCAGCTAATTTCCCTGCTGTGGGTCTCACAAGGCTGATCAAAGTGTCGCTGGCTGGATTGTTTCGGAGGCTCTGTGCAGGATCCTCTTCCAAACTCATTTAAGTTGTTGGCAGAATTCTGTTCCTTGCGCTTGTCAGACTGAGATCCCTTTTCCTTGCTGGCTGTGAGGGCCCATCCTTAGCTCTTTGCAACTTCTTTCTGGTCCCTGCACATTGACCCTACATCCCGGAGTCTGTAATGGTGAGTCAAATCCTTCTCATGCTTGGAACCCCTCTCATTTCTCCTGCCACATTTCTCTTCTACCTCCAGCCTGAGAAAGTTCTCTGCTCTTAAGAACTCGTGTGTTTAGACTGGGTCCACTCAGGGAATCCAGGATAATCTCTCTCTTTTAGAGTCCATAAATCTTAATTACATCTGCAAACTCCCTTTGGCATGTAACAGGGGATATTCATAGGTCTGAGATTGTGGGTTGGCATCTTTGGGGGCCATAATTCATCCTCCCACAGTATGTGTGTGATGGTATGATGGTGTCATTAGATTGCATTCTGTTATAAGTAAAGTAATATTAACTCAAAGTGCCTTAATAATGAGAACATTTATTATTGTACAGGATGAGAAATCTCAAACAGCAGGGTCCATTTAAGCTGAGCTTCCAGTATGGCTCCCAGATCACATGTAGCCATTGTGCACTTGAAAGGCAACTAGTACAAGCCGAGCTGTGCTCTAAGAATAAAATATCCTCCAGAATTTAACGACTTCTTATTTTTCTTATTCTTCTTTTTTCAGATGTTGCCTGCCTCATTTCTCCACTGTATGCTTACTATTTTTTCTCTTTGTAGTTAATAAGGATGTGGAGAGAGTTTGAGACCATGTAAATTCCTGTTACTTCTCAAACTCTGACCTATTCATTTTAGCATCCATTGTTGGAGTTTGCCTTACAGTTACTATTATGACCATTACCAAATAGTGAACCTCTAATGTCATCATTCTTTCTACATTTCTTAGTCGACATTCTACTCTTAGGAAGAGCTTTCCTCCCCTTCCTGATTCATGTATTTACCAATGGCTTTATATCAACATGGACTCATGAGTTATTATTTTATAACTGTAGTTCTTTACTATCATTTATCGTGATGCTCAAGTTGTCCCAGATGAGGCCAATGGGAACCTTTTCAAGAGGGCTCATGTCCTTTTGATGTGTCCCCATCATTTGTTGAGCACCTCCTCGCTTTCTGGTATCAGATTCCCAGGCTCCTTTTGTAATTTTCCTGCCTCATCTCTGTAACTCTGGCCATTTCCCCAAGGAGCTCTGGTTCCTTTTAGTGGAGGACAGTATTTAGAAACCAAGACCTGGGTGAACTGATTGCTACAAGGATATCATTGCTTCTATACTCTCTCAGTGGATAGAGCTAGGAAACAGATGTGTGTACATCTGTGTGTACAGATACAGATCTGTGTGTACAGATGTGTGTACAGATGTGTGTACACCTGTGTGTACAGATAGAGCTAGGAAACAGATGTGTGTACATACAGAATTTTTATTTACTGTTTAAAAGATTTTAAATCATTAATAATTTTACATTGATTATATATTTAAATTATACTTTGGGTATACTGGGTCAAATAAAGTATATTTTAAATTAAGTTCATATATATTTTTTAACTTTTTAAGCATGGTTACTGAAAATTTTAAATGGTATGCATGGCTCACATAATATTTATACTGAAGTGTGCCAGTTTAGAGAGCATGATGTCATAGTAGAGCCAGGGTTCTTCCATCTGGCTGCTCCGCCATCCTCAGTGTATCAGTACTGTCTCCCCTCATGGTCATAAGATGGCTGCCACAGCTCCAGCCATCACACAACCACATAATTGTCTATAAAGCTGGATGGCAGAGATTCCAGCTAGCTGTCTCTATATCTGTTATCCCTTCTTCCTTTACCTAGTGGATTTAAGAGTGCTCTACTAAAGACAACATTTTCCAGCTTTCCCTGCATCTATGGCACTATGTTTTGGCCAATGAAAATGAGTGAAAGCAATCTGAGCACCTTATGAGTTGGTCCTTTAAAGGAAATGGCAATGCCCTCCTCGTTTCCTGTCTCCACTCTTGCTGAATGACAGAAATGAGAGCAGCCATCTTATTTTGCCAATTTTCTAGGATATTTACAGTGGATATAGAATTCTGTGTTGACAATTTTCTTTTTCTTTCAGTACATTAAAGATTCAAGGGTAATTTATATACGGACTTAGGTCCTCTTTCTCTGGGGCTCCCTCCATGTTAGGATTTCTCCTCTCAGTTTCCAACTACTCTTGCCGCCCTGAACTCTAGGGTCTGATACTTCAAGTCAATGACAGGTTTTCTGGGCTTCCCTGGTGGTGCAGTGGTTGAGAGTCCGCCTGCCGATGCAGGGGACACGGGTTCGTGCCCCGGTCTGCGAAGATCCCACATGCTGCGTCCGCGGCTGGGCCCGTGAGCCATGGCCGCTGAGCCTGCGCGTCCGGAGCCTGTGCTCCGCAACGGGAGAGGCCACAACAGTGAGAGGTCCGCGTACCGTGAAAAAATAAATAAATAAATGACTGTTTTTCTGCTTGAGTTCAAGCTGTCCCTTGCCACACGAACGGAGGTGCATCCTCAGAGGAAAAGCCATATGAACTTGATCTCACATAGTGTGTTCCATTGTTTTTTTTTTCCTTCAGCTTTAATGAGATATGATTGACACATAACTTCACCTAACTTTAAGGTATACAACATATTGATTTGATACATTTATATGTGGCAAAATGATTACCACCATAGCATTAGCTAACACCTCCATCCATCCCATCACATAATTCTCATTTCTTTTTTGTGGTGAGAACATTTAAGATCCAGTCTCTTGCAACTTTCAAGTATATAATGTAGTGCTCTGATGAATTTTACACTTAGGTAACTGACATTTTAAGACGTGAGAGGAATTCCCTGGAGGTCTAGTGGTTGAGACTCAGCGCTTTCACAGCTGTGGGCCGGGTTCAGGGAAATAAGATCCTGCAAGCCATACAGAGGGCCAAAAAAAAAAAGACATGAAACCTCTACATCATCCTGTACTTTTTCAACTCAATTCTTTCTACGACATAGACAGTCACTAGTCTGCTTCTGGCTGCTGTAGATTAGTTTTTCCTGCCTGCTCTACAAATTCATGTAGTGGGAATTATCCAGAATTATACACTGTGTACTCTGTTGTGTGGGTTCTTTTTTCTTTCACTCAACATAATGGTCTTGAACTGCATCCACGTTGTGTATATCTTGTTTTTTCCTTTCACTGCTGAAAAGTATTCCCTTGTATGGGAATCATTACAAATCATATATGACTTTCCGTGTCTAGCTTCTCTAAGATCTTTATGGCGAAAAAGAGCCAAAAGGATTAGAATTGAAGCTTGTGGAGAGAGCTTGGGATTCCAAAATGGGATAGAGGCAATATATATTAGGGTCTTGGCAGTAGCCAAAATGGACCATTTTGTGGCCAAGAGAATGGTCTGTGACAGCCTTCAAATTGCGCCACCTGCTGAGTTGGAAGGAAGGTATTGGACGATCCATATAAACTAGAGATGCGGGGGAGGTACCATTAGGGGACCTGGGAGGTGTATCCATATTTCCCTTGGAAGCGCTGATCTTGCCTCCTGCCTCAGATAATGGCTGTTGAGCTTCTTGCTGTTCTGACTGAAAATCCTCAGTATTTGGCTTTCTTGAGTTTTGCTCTACGATTCTTTTTTTTTTTTTTCGGTACGCGGGCCTCTCACTGTCTTGGCCTCCCCCGTTGCGGAGCACAGGCTCCGGACACACAGGCTCAGCGGCCATGGCTCACGGGCCCAGCCGCTCTGCGGCATGTGGGATCCTCCCGGACCGGGGCACGAACCCGTGTCCCCTGCATCGGCAGGCGGACTCTCAACCACTGCGCCACCAGGGAAGCCCTGTTTTGTTTTTTAATATTTTGTTCAGAGTTGGCAATTGCTGTCTGTGGGGAAGTAAGACAGTACCCTCTCACCTGTCCATGTTGTGCCTTTCTCCTCCTCCTATTCTCCCTCAGGTGAGTGATTTTTCACTTGGGGTCTCTCCCATGGTTGCCGTTGGATGTCAGCTGGGATTTGATTGACCTGAAGGCTTGACGGGGCTGGAGGGAGTAGATGGCTCACCCACAGGGCAGCTGTTGGCTGGGAGTTCAGCTGGGCATGCTGAGCAGAGCGCTTACAGGTGGCTTGTCTGCCACCATTGGCTGAACCTTGACCCACCCACACTGGGTGCAAGAGGCATGGATTCTTTCCCAAGACCAGAACGAGTTCCCTGGATGCAGTGACATTTCCGTGGGATGCATGGCCAGAATATCTTTCAAGGTGGTCAGCAGAAGACTTGATTCCTGGGTTGCTTTGGTCACTGACCCCCACATACCATGAACCAGTCTGACATAATTACCTGGGCTCCTCTGACCATTACAGGCCTGGTCCTCTAATGTGAATCCCCAACACCTTTTGGGGATTTTATAAATGTCACTCTTGGACCTCCCCACCTGAGCAGGTCTCGTTCCCTGAGGGATTTGGGGATCACAGATGTCGAAGTTCCCAGTTATGATACTTTGGTTCCTGCTGTTTATGTGTCCTCGTGTTTGCAAACCCTGTACCTCTGGTGTCAATCTTTTCTCCCAGTGTCAATTCGTTTTCAT